AAGGAAGGGCTCATGTGGCTGGCCGTGCTGGGTTTTATTGACTGACCTCTCCTGCTCTTCCTTCCAACCTTCTCTCACCCATGCGCTTCCCACAGCTATCATCCGTGGTGGTGGAGGGGCTAATGTGGCTGGGCTGGGCGTGAGGGACTTCATAAACCATCCTCTCTTGCCCTCTCTCCTTCTCCCTCCCCTCTTCCCCTGTACCCATGCGCTTCCCACAGCTATCATATGTGGTGGTGGAGGGGCTAATGTGGCTGGGCGTGAGGGACTTCATAAACAGTTTCCGCAAAAAGCTGAAGCTGCCGCCCATCCCTCTGCGCAACCGCCCCAAGATGCGCATCCCCTTCGGCTACATCTGGAGCCCCACGCTCGCCCCCAAGCCACATGGTGAGTCCCACCCCACCCTCGCCCCCAACCAAACCCCATGGTGAGCTCCACTCTCGCCCCCAAACCCCATGGTATGCCGCATCTGCAATCCCTACTGCCCATTGCCCCAATCAAACCCAACCTTCTGCAATCTGTTAGACGTGGTGGGATACAGCCTTTTCAACCAGCTTCACTCCCTCTTTCACACCCACCTTCCCTGCCGCCTTTCCTGTCCTCCACTCCTGCTGTCTCAACCCATCCCAGACTGGGGAAACCTAATAGACGTGGTGGGATTCTGCTTTCTCAACCTAGCGGAACACTACTCGCCTCCAGCTCACATCCAGCAATGGCTTGACTCGGGCCTGCCCCCCATCTTCATTGGTTTCGGCAGCCTGGTGCGTCACATCACTCACTGCACTCGGTCTCTCTTTCTCACACCATTACACCCTGGTACGTCATTCTTCTCACGCGACGTGCTGGGGATGGGGTGGCGTGGCATGGGGCAGCGTGGCATGGGGCAGCGTGGCATGGGGCAGCGTGATTTTGCTCCATCACTGGCTTCTGCTCATGTTTGCACTCCCTCCCCTCCTTCCTCCCCCTCTCCTCCCCCCTCTTCCTTCTCTCTCCTCCCCCCCTGCAGCCGGTATCAGACCCCAAGGGACTGACTCAGAAGTTTGTGGAGGCACTGGAGCGCACGGGGCAGCGCGGGATACTGCAGGAGGGCTGGGGGGGACTGGGCAAGAGTGAGTGCCGTGGGATGGAGGGAGTGTGAGATGGAGGGAGTGCCGTTTAAGGGTGTAGCAAGTGGGATGGATGGGGGTGGAGAGTGAGAGTCATAGAAGCAGGGGATTATTCCCCCCCGGTGGGCTTAAGAGCACGGGGCAGCGCGGGATACTGCAGGAGGGCTGGGGCGGGCTGGGCAAGAGTGAGTGCGATGGGATGGAGGGAAGGAGTGAAGTGAGTGGGATGGATGGATGGAGTGAGTGAGTGAGTGAGTGAGTGAGTGCCACTTGTTTCTGCTCGTACTTTTGAGGCGCCTCAAAAGTCGCGGGGCACTTGTTTCTGCTCGTACCTTGAAGCCTCTGCCCGCACGATTCGCTTCACCTTCTCACTCTTGTGTGCCCTCCCCTTGGCCTACCTTACCTGCACTCCACCAGTGGAAACACCCAATGAGAACGTGCTGGTGATAGGCAACTGCCCGCACGACTGGCTCTTCCCGCGCTGCAGAGCAGTGCTGCACCACGGCGGCGCGGGCACCACTGCTGCTGGGCTTAAGGCGGCGGTGAGTGGTGTGTGTGTGTGTGTGTGTGTGTGTGCGCGCGCGCGCGCGCGCTTGGGTTGGGTTGGGTGGTCTGAGTGCCAGTTTGAAACCGTGGTGAGTTGGGTGCATGGTCTGCATGCCACTCTGAAACCATGCACAGCAGTGCTGCACCACGGGGGCGCAGGCCGGGCACCACTGCTGCTGGGCTCAAGGCGGCGGTGAGTGGTGTGTGCATGCTTGCACTGGTGGGGCGAGGCCTGGGTGAGTTGACTCAAAAGTCAACGCACTGGTGGGGCGAGGCCTGGTGAGTTGGGCAACGCAGTGGGTAAGTGGTGTGTGCATGATTGTCCACGCAGTGCCCCATGTGCATGGACAACCCCCACACAACCCCCACACCACCCCCACACAACCCCCACACAACCCCCACACAACCCCCACACAACCCCCACACAACCCCCATGCAACCCCCACGCAATCCCTTTCTTTGGTGACCAACCCTTCTAAGGACCCATGTGCATGCAGTGGCACAGTCGGAATGGGTTCTCACTCGTTTCCCTCCCCATGTCCCGCTTCTTGCAGTGTCCCACCACCATCATCCCATTCTTTGGCGATCAGCCCTTCTGGGGAGCGCGGGTGCATGCAGCGGGGGTGGGTCCCGAGCCCATCCCCATTGGCTCGCTCACACTTGACAAGATTGTAGCAGCCATTGAGTTCATGATCCGAGATGAGGTGAGAAGCAGGGTTGGGAGAGGCGAGGGGGCGAGAGGTGAGTGTTTAGGGTGGAGGTTAGGCGAGCGGGGTGGAGAAAGGGATCTGGAACGGTGGAACCTAGGTCATACCCATCCCCATGTGCAGAGTGCACAACACAGGGGCTGTATGTCCGTCCATCCCATGTGCAGAACGGACAGGGCAATGGAATCTCACCAGGTCCACCCCGCTGCATGCCCCCTCCATCCCTCCGCCCCTTGTGGCTTGCATCTGTCCTCTCTGTGCCAGGTGGTGGCAGCAGCGAGGGAGCTGGCGGGCAAGATCGGCAAGGAGGACGGGTGGGCGGGGCAGTGGAGGCTTCTTTGGTCCGTAGGCATGCTTGCTTCGCAAAACCTCGCTCGTTTAAATGCGCACCCCCTTCTTACCTCTGTTCACCCTGTTCCACGTGGTAGCAGCAGCCAGGGAGCTTGCCGGCAAGATAGCCAAGGAGGACTCTCTCTTTGAGAATTCTCAAAAGCCAAGGAGGACGGGGTGGACGGGGCGGTGGAGGCGACCTTGGCCCATCCATGTGCATGCCTCCTTAAACCAACTCCCCTATTCAAACACACACCCTCGTACTTGTAACAGGTGGTGGCAGCAGCGAGGGAGCTAGCCGGCAAGATAGCCAAGGAGGACGGGGTGGATGGGGCAGTGGAGGCGTTTCACAAGCACCTGCCGCCGGGGTACCACTCCCAGGAGCAGTGCACTCCCTGGCTCGAGGCCTCCCCTGGTGCAGATTATGGTTCGGATTGTTCTTGCTGGCCGTGGAGCTGCGGGGATACTGGTGAGGAGGAAGAGGAGAAGAAGAGTTAGTCCTGGGAGCTAGTTTTTTAGGCGAATGGACCTGTGGCTGGAGGGCTCTAACGCTGCGGACTTTGGTGCTGCGCGTGCCTGCTGGGTGTGGAACTGTGGGGATGCTGGTGAGGAGGCAGAGGAGAGGAGTAAAATAATTATGGGGGCTGGTGTTGGGGTGCTACACTCAGTGCAGAGGAGGCATGGTGAAGCTGAAAGCTGCTGCTCCGACCCAGTGGCGAGTGTGGTGTGGAGATGATGGCGATGTGGCGTGGCGGCTGGTGAAACGAAGGAATTGGCAGATAGAGTTGTAACAGAAATAAACGATCCGCATATGTTATTTGCGTGTGTGTTTTGTAAGCTGAGTAGTGCAGTGCAGCATCCTGTTTCTAGTATAGTGTACCGTTCACTGCCCCAGCAGACGGTCAAACGACGATGTCACCAACAGGGAGGGATGGGATGGAATGCGATGGGATCTTCCAAGGTACCGTATATGGAGGCAGAGTCATGGAGCAGCAGTGTGGTTCACAGAACCACGGATGCTATGCCAGCTGGCCATTGCAGTGCATGCAAAGCTGCTTGATGAACGGCTGTCTCATTGGGTAATGATAAAAGGCAGAGCACCAGTGATTATTCACTGTGATTAGTGATCTACTGACAGCTGTTGGCAGCAGCAAACTCCTGCAATGGACATGCTTGCAGTTACAGCAGCAACACTGCAGCCAGCAGTGCGCGTAAATCTGTTAGCTCTTATTGTATTATCACATTGCACCGCACCATTTCAAGCAACAGCAGCAGCATCTACAGCGGCATCAGCAGCAGCAGCTGCTTCAGCAGCAGAGACCAGCTCGCCAGTGAGGCTGACTGCCCGAACATCCGTGATTCTGACCGGCACGATCTGCCCAATGAGGTCCGGGCTGCCCTTGAAGAAAGTGAGACGGTTGGTGTCTGTGCGCCCCATGACCTGCCATGTGACACCATGCCATGCCATGCCATGCCATGCCATGCCATGCCATGCCATGCCATGCCATGCCATGCCATGCCATGCCATGCCATGCCATGTCATGTCATACGCATGTTGCCAAGCCATGCCACACAGCACAATGAATAAAACATCAGATCCCATCAAAGCATACGAGAAAACTTGCAGAACGTTTCACCACTCTCAATCTGTCACCCCACCTCTCTCCTACCCATTAGCTCGTATCCTCTCTCCACTAAATCCAACCCCCACCATCACGACCCCTTGCCCCTCACCCTCCCTGCCCCCGTGCCGCCCTCCCTGCACCTCTCACCTCGCCTTCTCGCCCTGCCCGCGCATTCACTCCCTCCACCAGCAACGGCTCAATTCGTCCCAGGTATCGCTGGTTGCGCTCCAGGCAGTGCGTCAGTACCATCCTGGCAGGGCGAGAAGGGGTTGAAGGGAGGAGACAGAAAGGAGGGGTAAGAAGGGGTGAGTTGAGACTGCGAGTGATTATGCCTAGTGCCGCTGGCAGCGCTTTAAGCAGTGCTTCTGTACCATCCTGCCAGGGGAGAGAGAGGTTGCAGAGGGAGGAAAAGAGTCAGATGTTGGTTTGCACAGCTATTTCTGACTCTTTTGGGAAGTGTCGAGGAGAGATTGGTTCACAGAACTGGAAAGGCAGACATCAGGCATTTCAAAATAACCTGGAGGAATATGCAGCTTGTGAGAGCATATGATTTGCAAAAGCGCAAGACTCACTCATTGATGCGCTGTAGTCGGTCAATCTTCACCAACTCAGCTACCTGCATGCACACAGGGAAGGGGCGATGATGAGTGTATGTGACACACGGCGCAGAGGGGGGAGGGAAGGAGCTATAAACGAAAGAAGAGAGGGTTGGGAGAAAGAGGTGGGGTGGAGGATGAGCAAGGTACCTGGTTGGGCCAGTCAGCTGCTGGTGTGTTGGGGCGAGGTGAGTAGGCCGCTGTGTTGACCTGGTCAAAACGGACCTCTGATGGGGCGAGGGGTGGATGAAGGGTGGTGGATAGGGGATTGAGGGATGGAGGGCGAGTTGAGTTTTGGAGGAGGGAGGGAATGATGAGGGAAGCGATGGAGGAAGGATGGACATCATTGTGTGGTTGAAAAGAGAGGACTTGCACCCATGCATGTGCATCCTACAAACGACATGGAAAAGGGTAAGTGTTTTGCACGCAACACCTGCCTTTAACAAATGCACCTGCCGTGAAACTAAATAGTATCTTGCATGAACCAGAGGTGAATCGCACCTTCCAGTACCCGCAGAGTGTTTTGGAATTGCTCCTCCGTCTCCCCTGCAGACGCACACATGGGAGCAAACGGGGTAGTAAAGTTGGGTGGAGAAACGAATCTGATGCTTCGACTGAGGACAGGGAGGAAGGAAGAGGTTTGCTTTTGTCGACAGAGCCAAGCGTAGCATCAGGACAGAAGGGCACCAGGGAAGTTTGTTCTTCCACAAAAGTCAGCAACAGCATCGTAAAGGTGACGCACCAGGGAAGCCGACGATGACATCAGCGCTGATGGCAGCATGCGGCATGTAGCGGCGAATGGTAGCGAGGATGTCTAGATAGCGCTCCCTCGTGTAGCCCCGCGCCATGGCCTGGATGGGGAGGAGGAGAGGCAACCAAGTTTTTGTTTTTTTAGAAGTGTTGACTGATAACCCATCTAAGAATTTTACCTTTTTACTATTGTGTCGTCACTCCATCGCACCCCCCATCACGTGTCACAAGAACCACTCGTCACCGCATTGCAACCCTTCCACTAACCTTGAGAATGTCATAGTTGCCGGATTGGAAGGGGATGTGGAAGAACTCATTCCACCCCCCATCACCGCACCACATCACACCCCCCACCACCGCACTGGAACCCTTCTAGATACCTTGAGAATGTCGTTGTCGCCGGATTGGAACGGGATGTGGAAGAACTTGCAAACTTTGGGCAGCTCTGCGCATGCCCTGATCAGCCTCTCCGTGAAGTAGCGTGGCTGACACGCACAGAGGGAGACGAAGGGTGGGGTGTGGGACATGGGGAGGAAAGGGGGAATGGGGGAATGCAAGGGCGGTCAGTGGGAACATCTGCACTCTTTCGGCAGCTCACCACACGCTCTGCTCCGCCTCTCCATGAAATTGGGGGAGGGAGGGGTATGGATATGCCAAGGCCTTTGGGTTGAAGGAGCGGGTGGGGGCAGGGCACATGGGGAAAGGGGGAGATGATGGGGAAGCCGGTTGCTGCTGGTGCTGCTGGTGGGCTGGTGGGCTGGTGGGCTGGTGGGCTGGCGGGCTGGTGGGCTGGCGGGCTGGTGGGCTGGCGGGCTGGTGGGCTGGCGGGCTGGTGGGCTGGTGGGCTGGCGGGCTGGTGGGCTGGTGGGCTGGTGGGCTGGCGGGCTGGTGGGCTGGCGGGCTGGTGGGCTGGCGGGCTGGTGGGCTGGTGGGCTGGTGGGCTGGCGGGCTGGTGGGCTGGTGGGCTGGCGGGCTGGTGGGCTGGTGGGCTGGCGGGCTGGTGGGCTGGCGGGCTGGTGGGCTGGCGGGCTGGTGGGCTGGTGGGCTGGCGAGCTGGTGGGCTGGTGGGCTGGCGAGCTGGTGGGCTGGTGGGCTGGCGGGCTGGTGGGCTGGCGGGCTGGTGGGCTGGTGGGCTGGCGGGCTGGTGGGCTGGCGGGCTGGTGGGCTGGCGGGCTCACAGTGAACTGGTGACTCACATGGGACGTGGCGAAGCGAATCCTCTCGATGCCCTCCACATCGTGCACGCATTGCAGCAGGTCAGTGAGCGTCCACCTCCTCCTGCCAGATGGTGGCGTGTGACATTGGAGTGACATGTGACGTGCCTCCCATCCCCTCCCCTCCCCTCACTCACATGCGACGTGGCGAAGCGAATCCTCTCGATGCCATCCACACCGTGCACGTAGTGAAGCAGGTCAGTGAGCGTCCACCTCCTTCTGCCAGACCCGTCCTCCGCCGACCCCCCCAGGTCGCGCCCGTACGCATCAATGTTCTGCCCCAGCAGCGTCACCTCCTTGTACCCCGCTGCTGCCAGTCGCTGCATCTCCTGCCGAATGGCCTCTGGCTCTCGTGACTGCTCCGTGCCTCTTACTCCCGGCACCACACAGTACGTGCACCTCTCGTTGCACCCTGGTGTAGTGTGCGTGTGGGGGGTGGGTGAGGGGGTAAAAGAGGGGAGGAGAGGGGGGAGGGTACTGAGGCCCCCTGCACACACACAGCACGTGCTATAAATGATCTGTCCCAGCAGCCGTGACCTCGCGGTACCCCGCTGCTGCCAGTCGCTGCATCTCCTGGCGAATGGCCTCCGGCTCTCGTGACTGCTCCGTGCCTCTCACTCCTGGCACCACACAGTACGTGCACCTCTCGTTGCACCCTGGTGTAGTGTGGGCGGAAAGAGTTTAGTTGACTGCCTCGGACGACGGACACTGCATGGACTACATCGTTTTGCAACTGCACAACACGGCACGTGATGAAATACCATAAACATGTGCCATTGATGCAGCAGAGGTGACTTTTGAGTCGACTCAAAGGTCACAACGCGACATGTGATGAAGTACTACAAACATGTGATGAAATACTACAAACATGTGATGAAATACTACAAACATGTGATGAAATACTACAAACATGTGATGAAATACTACAAACATGTGATGAAATACTACAAACATGTGATGAAATACTACAAACATGTGATGAAATACTACAAACATGTGATGAAATACTACAAACATGTGATGAAATACTACAAACATGTGATGAAATACTACAAACATGTGCCATTGACTTGACACAGCAGAGGCGTCAGGCAGCTTTGTCAGGCTGGTGGAGATCGTGCCACTGCATCACTCACACTCCCTGTATCGTGTATCAACACAGCACACGACTCACCATATATGACGTTGACCCATGCTGTGATCGTGGACTCCCTGTAAGCCCAACAGCACAGCGGCAACAGAAACAAGGACAGGAAAAGCACATGCTTAACAAGTCATGGGAACGAATTAGTGCAGGAGCAGCAGCATGCTGAACGCAGGGATAAGCAAGGCACTGATTACAAGGCACTGATTACAAGGCACTGATTACTACACAGCACAAATGCAAGCAAGCCCCAACACAGGTGCCCTCAACTCAGGTGCCTCCACTGACCTCCTGGGTGTGGCGATGTCTTCGACAATGTGGATCGGCTCTGTTGCAACCACCTGAGCCCCCAGATCCACCTGAAGCAGGGGGCGACATAAGAAGACAAGGACATCTGTTGCAATCAGGTGACTGTGCGCATGCAAGGTAACCTGATTGACATGCCGTTCAACCTCATTCCTGGGCCGTTCAACCTCATTCCTGTGCCGTTCAACCTCAATCCTGTGCCGGTCAACCTCATTCCTGTGCCGTTCAACCTCATTCCTGTGCCGGTCAACCTCATTCCTGTGCCGTTCAACCTCATTCCTGTGCCGTTCAACCTCATTCCTGTGCCGTTCAACCTCATTCCTGTGCCGCCCAACCTCATCCCTGTGGCGCCCAACCTCATTCCCCTCCTTCCACTCACCTGTTCCAGCAGTTCATGCAGTCTGTTGGCGTGCTGCGGCCCCATCACAATGTCAACCTCAGGCACGCGTCGCAGCAGCGCGTGCCCCTCCTGCTGCGCCACGCACCCCGCCACCACCACGCGCATGCTCGGATCCCGCCTCCTCCGCTCGCGCTGCCGCCCCAGCGCGGAGTAAACCTTCTGCTCGGACTTGTCGCGGATGCTGCACGTGTTGTAGACCAGCACGGCCGCTTGATCCGGGTCCTCCGTCGCCTCGTACCCCATCGCCTCCAGCACGCCCGCCATGCGCTCGCTGTCCGCCATGTTCATCTGGATTGCGGGAAGGGGGGAGGGAGCGGGAAGGGGGAAATGGACGGGGAAGGAGACGGGGAAGGGATTGGGGTAAGAATGCGAGAGAAAGGCAGAGAAGCAAACCATTTGGCAGGGTTGAGGGTTCTGACGATCTTTAACGGATTCAGAGGGCCAAACCGCCACGCTAGAGCACCGAAAATGAACTTTGCAAAAAAAATCGAATAAAAGGCCTCGTTTCAAGGCATCCTTAAAATCACCAATAGCACGATCCCACCTGGCATCCGAAGGTGTGCACGTGGAACTTCTTTCCCTTCCTGTCGCCAGCCTGGATGTCCGCTAGCGGTCGCACGAGCACTGTTCCGTCCTCGCCGCAGAAGTCGGGCGACGTCGGATCCACTGTCGTGGCCGTCTCCATCGCAGGGGTCGTCACAATGTTCGCATGGGCGACACATTTCAAATTGCGAGAAGAGCGGACGGCGGAGGACGGCTTCTCGCCAACGCTTCGCGATGCTCGCTGAGTAACATTCCGGGCGAAAAGCTTCGCTGGATCGGTTACGGAGAATGGATCGCCAACTCTGCCTGTAAAGCTGCTGACTCGATTCGCGACAAACTCGCCGCGAATGTTGCCAGCAGTGGCGAGGCTACTCGCGAGACGCAACGCGGACATGGCTTAACAGGAAAGATACAACTTTGCCAATGCGACTGCAGCTATGTCCTAATTCGAAGGCAGAAAACCGTCCTAATTCGAAGGCAGAAACAAAAATATGACATACCACAACCAGGCAGTGATGGGTCATGAGCTCATTCTCTTTAAAAGCATTCTCAGAGCTGACAGGTTGTTGTAGATTCTTGGAAAAAGTGCAGATTGTTAATTTGAATTTGAAAGCAGACCGATGTTGTGTGGATCTGCCTGCCGCTTGGCCTGACGGTCATGACAAGGCGTCGACTCAGCTGTCGTCAGAACCTTGTCCACCACGCCTGCCATCCGTCAGCTGTAAAAAAGCGGGTTCGCCTCAGCGACGCACCACCGTGACTAAGCGCCACGCATGAAAGGGAGACCTTGGTAGGATGGCTCCTGATGGCTCAGCAACCGCCACGAATGGCGCAGCGTTACACGTCAGGCTTGCGTGGTCACCGTTCGTGCCATGTATGGTGGGGCCTTCTAGGCCACCTCCAAACTCCTCAAGCTGTGAACCTACATTTCGGGCAGGTGAGGACCTTTCTCCCAACCGACAAGCGGAGTATTGTCTTCGTCGCACCACTGCACATGTCCCTCTTGATTACCCCCGGCGTCATTTTTACTCCTTATCAATGAGATAATGTTGCTAGGCAGCCTCTTTCGACGTCGAACAAACATTTTCTTTCAAACGCTGCCATTTGACGGTTCCCTTGATTCCCTCTTCACGAGATCAGCGGGAGTGGTGCCCACTTTGGGCTCGATCTGAACTTGAACGCGCATCAGCGTGAAAGCACCTCTCAGCACAGGCAGCCATTGCTGACAACCCCAAACCCCAATCAACCTTCACCAGACACGAGACCAGTAGAGGACTTACAGATTCCAGCTCACTGACTCGCCCTTAGCCTGCATTTTGCGAAATGACTCGAGTTACCGCTTTATCTGGATACCATGCCCTGCCGTTAGTGCAAGCTTGACTTCAACTTAGACGCCTACTTCTCATCAGAGATTTATTACCGTTATCTTCCACAGGACTGTATACTCCATAGACGTGCATTGACCGGCATTGTCTTTGCAGGAATAGGTTTCGTTCTTCAGCACCATATCTTCCCACCTACACTCTCCTTTCCCTGCCTCCTAGATTCTGTCCAACGCAAGATCGTTACTTTATTCAGCAAAGCATTGTTGGGACCCTGCTCCAAACGAGGGAATTACCTTGCTTAACAACGTTATAGCTGGAAGAATTAATTTCGTTCAGGATGCCCAATTCGGAAGGCTGCGACAGTCAGAGCTGCCACTCAGATGAGCTCGGGAAAGGTCATGGCGGCGTAACTAACTCCCCCAATGTTTCCGCGGGCAGGAGCCATGAAACAGACCACAGAGGCGATCACCATCCAGGGGAGACCGGCCAAGCTAGAGACCACAATGGCGACAATTCCCACGACGCTGACGTCAAGCAGAGGAACCAGCATCAGCAGCAGCAGCATCAGCAGCAGCAGCAGCATCGGCAGCAGGATCATGGCGGGTCGCGAATGTCGCATCCGTTGTCGGACGAAGATCCGGGGGTGGTGGACGAGCGGAAGCAGAAGCGGATGCTGAGCAATAGGGAGTCGGCGCGGCGGTCGCGGCTGAAGAAGCAGCACCATCTTGACGAGATGCGCCAGCAGGTCCGTCAGTCCCATCCTCGGGTCGGGTCACCCACGCCTGCGGACAGTCTGTTCGGAATCTCCCGCCCCGTTACTGGTTCTTGATTATCGCCTTGGTTATTGCTTCTTCCATTCCCCCCACAACCTGAACCTTTCCGCGCAACAACCCGACTGTCACCCGCGCGCACTGCCTCATCACCCGTCATTCCAGCCTCCTCACCCCAATTCGCTTTCTTGCGCGCTGTATTCCCTCCGCGTCCCCCGGTCCTCCCGCGCCAGGTGGCGCAACTGCGCGCGGAGAACAGCGAGATGTCGACGCGGTACAACATGGCGTCGCGGCACTACACGCAGCTGACTGAGGAGAACCGCGTGCTGCGCTCGCACGCCATGGAGCTCAGTCGCCAGCTGCAGCGCCTGCACCACGCAGCCGCCGCGCACGGCCACCCCATGAACGCGCAACTCGGCCTCGGATCCAGCCTCGGATCGAGCCTCGGATCCAGCCTTGGTGGTGGTCTAGGCTCGTCGCACATTGACCCCCTCGCGTTTTCCCTCGCGCCGCCCCTGGGTCCCCCGTTTTCGGCGCATCACATGGCTGCGCGGTCACCCATGTCTATGTACCCCTACGCCTTGCCTCCCTCGCCTGCGCCGGAGGTCTCGAGGTGATGAGGTTTATTTAGTCAACCCTACTCGGTTTCTCTAAATCGTATGATTGAAGTTAGGTGTAGCTGGGCTTTTACGATGTCCCATTTTGCTGTAATTCCGGCACCAATTTTGCTGGTTATAAGGACAGCTCTGGCAATTGCAGCTGCCTTGTTTTAACATTTGTTCTGGTTTGAGTGCAATTTTCTCTGCATAGGAGTGACTGACCTAGACAGACAGAGTTTTGCCAAAGAAATAAGGTTTGATCAATATTAAGTTCTTGGTGCAGCTGCTGTTTTCCATACATGAACACTACTCTACCTTTGGTTGGGAAGGAGCTTTAGCTTTCTTGAACATTATCGAGGCTCATTGCATCATAGCTTTGGGAACTTCTACAGCCCCTATTTCCTAATTAAATAGCCTACCACATTGAGTGTGCCATGGGAGCACACTGGTGCAGACAGGATTGCACAGGTGGCAGCAGCAAGTGGTACAGCTACTGTGTGTTGATGGCAGCAGAGCTTTCACACGCGGCTGGCTAGGCTGTGAGGTGGCCCTGACATGGCTAAGAAATGGTTAGGAAATGGCTAGAAGATGGCTAAGATGGTTATGCAACATGGCTACAAGCTGGCCAAGCGATTGGTATCACCCCGTCGGAGCAGCTGTGGAGGCTGGTGGTGAAGGGCGGTGGATGATAGGGTCATGTGCAATAACGTGGATACCGTGTGTAGCAACGAGCACGGCTGGCAGCGGCAGGGAGGGCTAGAGCATGGCAGCGGTGACGTCCATGGCCTGGCGGATGTGCTGCAGGGTGAAGAAGATGAGGGAGTTCCCAAGGTGGACATGTCAGCTGCTGTGAAAGCCTTGCTTCTATCAATTCAGTGGGTACGTGCGTGCTAAGGCAAGGGACGAACCCCATGGCTCCGGTGCCAGGAAAAGGCCTGAAAGGTGAGAGCTTTTGCGTTTCTTGGGAGCCAGCTTGAGCCAGCTAGAGTGGGGGAACAGCCATGGGCAGGGCAGGAGTGTGGCAGCAGCGACGTCCACGGCCTGGCAGATGCGCTGCACGGTGCAGATAGACGGGGGAATTGTTGTTGATGCTTGACTGGTGGGCTGCTGCGGAGGCCTTGCTTCCATCAACTCACTGGGTACATGCGTGCTAAGGCAACGAGACCAACCCCATGGCTCCGGTGGGGGGAAAAGGCCTGGTTAGGTGAGCGCTTTTGCGTTTCTTAGCTAGTGGCAGCTAGAGTGTGGCAGCAGCGACGTCCATGGCCTGGCGAATACGCTGCACGGTGCAGCAGATGAGGGAGTTCACCGTTGCCATGCTCTCTGTCGTCAACTTCGCCTGCCATGTGAAACCAGCGGGGAGTGTGGGGTGTGGGATGGGGGGAGCGCACACTTGAGCACTCTGAGTTTCCAAGCGAGCAACACAGAGAGAGAGAATGCCAGACTGCTGCTGTCCAACAGAAAATCCAACACTGCCAGCCACTCCACCAATAAACCTCCATCATAATCCATATACCAGTTCTCCCCGCATACACACTTGCGAAGTAGGGCTGACAAGGATGTGGAACAAGGCAGTGAGGATGGATAGACCCTTCCAAACTCATCAAACCGCTGCCTCCCCTTCGCCCCTACCTGTGGCATAGTATACCACGAGCATGCATACCTGGGGGTTAGGGCTGACGAGGATTTGGAACGAGACCGTCAGAATGGACCCTTCCGGCACGTGCCCCAGCGCCCTCTTCCTCGCAGCACTCCGCATGGCCTGCGCTGCCAAGCTATCCACCTCGCCGCCCTGCTGCCATCCCTCCTCCGCCCCATACCGGCTGTTCCCCGCCGCCCCCCCAGCGAATGCTGCCGAGGCGGCGCCGCCCGCGGTGGGCTGGATGGGGGCGGCGTTGAAGAGAGCTACTCGTTGGTCGGAGGAGAGGGCGCAGTCAGGGAGGAGGGAGAATCCCGAGGGGAGCAGGGCGACGGAGTCGGAGGAGCCGCCTGATATGACCTCCTTCATTGCCGGTATGTCCACTGGTGCATATACTATAAGAGCTCCTGAGAGGAGGCAGAGAGAAAGGGAGAGGGGGAGGGCAAACATGAAAAGGGTGATCAACTGAGAATTACCCGAAAATGGAGTTGGGAGGTGGGTAACAGTGAGACCATAGCTGAGTAGCCAGTGACTGCTGCTACTGCTTGTGGTGGTGATCCTGCTGCTTCAACTGCTGCTGGCGCGACTGTTGCAACTGCTGGTGGTGTCGCTACTGCAGCTGTCGCGCGCGTGGACCAGGCCGCGCGCGTGGACCAAGTCGCACGCGCGGACCAGGGCGCACGCAGGATCACCTAGAAAGGGGACACACCTGAAAATCACCTGATAAACACATGAGGATCACCTAAATTTACCGGAGAATCCACCTGGGCGCACCTGAGGGGTCGAAGGTGGTTTCTTGCAGAATGAGCATGTTGGTCTGTGCTCCTGGGCCTGCTGCCGCCTGCTGTTGTAGGGCAGCGGGCAAGGTGGATGGATATGCGGAGGGGTGAGGCCGGCGGGGGGCAGGGCAGAGTGGGAAAGGGCGAATGGGAAAGGTCGGAGCGGGAAGGGCGTTGGGGGGAAAAATAGGGACTTGAACGTGCCATTTCTAAGCCTGTGCACCGACGCACCGATGCACCGATGCACCGTAAAACACAATCACAGTTGCTGACACCATCAGCGACCTCACTGCACGGCCGCTTTAAATGCCTTCACAGCACAAGTGGGCCCTCTCGCGCTGACCTGCACTTTGAGAACCGAGCTGCACCATGCCTACGCCTCAAGGTACCACTTTACAACCCAGTACATCCCAAGTATACCTCAATACACCATGGGCTAAGGGACCAGCACTGACCTGCACTTTGAGCAGCGACACACAGTTGCCATGGTCCACACCAATGGGTATTCTCCCCATCTCTGATACCACTGACCCGCTTGTCAAGATGTCCCACTGCGCACCAAAACGGCGGAGAAGGGGTGAGAGAGGATGAGAGAAAGCCACTGGGATGTCCCCCTGTGAGTACAGACAGGGAGGATGACAATCCGGAGAGGTTCCACGTGAGAAAGATGGCCAAAGCAACCCACACCTCCACCGCCCCCATCGCTACTCCTGACACCCCACTCGCCCCCCCACCCCCCCTTCCTTCTCCATCAATCCCTCCCTTACTCACCTCGCGCCTTGTCTGCTCGTTCCGCAGAAACTCAAACGCGAGAGGCATGGGCACGGGCAACCAGACAGACGCAGCGGCGTTGAGAATCACCCCCAGAGGCTCCCCTGCGCCCGTCACACTGCGTCTCATCGCCACCCACACCTCCACCGCCCCCATCGCTGCTGCTTCTGACGCCGCACCCGCACCCCCCATGCCCTCCCCCTCGCCCCCCATCCCCCCTCCCCCTGCAGTGCTGGCGCCAGCGGGTGTGCTCCCACCCCCTGCAGCGGTACTGGCAGCAGAGGCGCGGTCTGAGTTGTCTATCACCTTCCAGGAATGTCTGATGGGTGTCATGAGAGGGTGACGTAAGAGGGTGAGATGAGATGAGAGGGTGAGATGAGAGGGTGAGATGAGATGAGAGGGTGAGATGAGAGGGTGAGATGAGAGGGTGAGATGAGAGGGTGAGATGAGAGAGTGAGATGAGAGAGTGAGATGAGAGAGTGAGATGAGAACAAGATGTGGGGAAAGAGCAGGGATGAGCAGCTGAAGAGCAGAGGCACGGTCAGAGTGGTCAATCACCTTCCAGGAGTGCCTGGTGGGGGAGGAGGTGAGAAGCGGGGTTGGGATGGGAAGGTGACACGAGAGTGTGACATGAGGGGTTGAGATGCGAGATGATAGCGGGGTGACATCACAACAAGATGTGGCGAAAGCAAGGACGTCCCAAAAGCGTTACCTGGTGCAAACTCTACCTGGTGGAGGAGGAGAGGCCGACACAGAAGTTGGAGAGCATGCGGCCGGCGAGGCGGAGCATGGCGCGGCGGCCCTGCTGAGACACGATGCCACTGTCCCTCGACGTGGGGTTCCCTAGCAGCTCCCCGAACCGCACACACTGGTGGTGTAATGCCGCCATCCACCTTGCCGCCCCAAAACCCAATGCTGCTGCCACGATTGGTCTGTGTAGGTAGGGGAAGAGGGGAGAAACAGCGGAACATGGGGAGGGGAAGGGGGAGGGATAAGGAGGGGCTGAGATAACAGGCAGGCAAGTGGGGTTCCCTAGCAGCTCCCCAAACCGCACACACTGGTGGTGTAATGCTGCCATCCACCTCGCTGCTCCGAACCCCAATGCCTGCCACGATTGGTCTGGGACACGGAAGGGGAGCAGGAGGGCAAGGGAGGGAGGGGGAGGAGTTGAGTTGACTAGTCAGGCAGGCAAGTAGGATTCTCCTGCAGCTCTCCAAACCGCACACACTGGTGGTGCAGCGCTGCCATCCACCTCGCCGCTCGGGGCCCAGTGCTGCTGACATTATGGCCTTGGGAAGGGGGAAGACGGGTTTGAAGGGTTTATTTTTGCAGGCAACTGGTGCAACTGGGGTTTTTGACGATATGAAGGGTTTGTGTTGCTGAGGTGGACTTCAATGCGAGCGGAATTGGGGGGATTGACTAGGAGAAACCGACTGAAAATACCCGACTCAAAGGACATGGCTCTGGGAGAGCTGAAAACTTGACTGCGGGGATTGGCTTTGGAAATCGACTGGAACAGAGGCACGGGCTTTACCCAAGGCCCACCTGAAGAGCGGCGGCACTCCCAAGGGGTCTGCCTCCACATGCTCCACTAGTGTCACCTGACTGCTGCCGTTGGGTGTCTCCTGGTGATGGCGATAGAGAGGGGGAAAAGAGGGTGGCAGATAGGACAGTTGCGGATGAGAGAAGCAGATGGGGGCAAACGAGAAGAGAGAGCGAGGAGAAGAGAGAGCGAGGAGAAGAGAGAGAGAGGAGAAGAGAGAGAGAGGAGAAGAGAGAGAGAGGAGAAGAGAGAGAGAGGAAGCGCGGGGGTTGCTACATGAATGAGGATGCCTCACGGCTGTCGTCGGCACTTGAGCATGACGGGCGGGTGCTCGCTGCGGAGGCGATCCACCGAGATGTCACACGACGGCCCAGCAGGCGGCACAGGGCAGCAGGCGGCACAGGGCAGCAGGAGGTATAAGATACCTGAAGAGGGCAGCAGGCGGGTGTACCAGAACCCACCTGGATGAGGATTCCCGATGGGCGTCGTCGGCACTTGAGCATGACGGGAGGGGGCTCGCTGCGGAGGCGGTCGACAGACACGTCCACGACAGCCCAGCAGGTGGGGGAGAGCTGCTTGCAGTAGCGAAGGAAGAAGGCTTCTCGCGTTGGCACTTGCGGTGTGAGCATCTGCGTCTCTAAATACATCTGAGGGGCAGGAGGGCACAAGGGGAGGTGGGGCACAAGTGACCGATGGAACAACGGGACTGTCTATGATGTGACGGCCCAGCAGGTGGGGGCGAGGGGACAAGGGAACGAGGCAACAAAGTAATCAAGTGTCGTGGGGACGAGAAATGGGCAGCATTAAGTTCGCAAGGCCAAATAGCAGATGCAAGCGTACCATTATCGTGCCCTACCAGCTGAAGCATGCCATTCCCCTGCCCTGCCCTACCAGCTGCAGCATGCCATTCCCCTGCCCTGCCCTACCACCTCAACTTGGCCCGTGCGCGGGCCCTGGCCCTTGGGCCCTGGCCCTTGGGCCCTGGCCCTTGGGCCCTGGCCCTTGAGCCCTGGCCCTTGGGCCCTGGCCCTTGGGCCCTGGCCCTTGGGCCCTGGCCCTTGGGCCCTGGCCCTTGGGCCCTGGCCCTTCGTCCCTGGCCCTTGGTCCCTGGCCCTTGGGCCCTGGCCCTTGGGCCCTGGCCCTTGGGCCCTGGCCCTTGGGCCCTGGCCCTTGGGCCTGCCCTTGGGCCCTGGCCCTTGGGCCCTGGCCCTTGGTCCCTGGCCCTTGGTCCCCGCACGTGCGCCTTGGTCCGGGCGCGCGCCTTGGTCCGGGCGCGCACCTTGGTCCGGGCGCGCGCCTTGGTCCGGGCGCGCGCCTTGGTCCGGGCGCGCGCCTTGGTCCGGGCGCGCGCCTTGGTCCGGGCGCGCGCCTTGGCCCGGGCGCGCGGCACTCACGAGCTGCAGAGTGCCGTTGCGCTGCGTGGGTTGATTGCCCACACAGATGACGTCCACCACCACAGCTCGAGACACCAACGATGGCAACAAGGCATCCACCAGCTCTCTCACCCCTTTAAGGCAACTCACGAGCTGCAGAGTGCCGTTGCGCTGCGTGGGTTCATTGCCCACATAGATGAGGTTCACCACCACGGCTCAGTACCGCAGCTCACTCGTCATATGCCTGAAGATTCTCAGAACAACCCACCTCTGCACGGCCACCCACCAGCTGGAGCGTGCCGTTGCGCTGGGTGGGCTCGTTGCCGACACAGATAACATCCACCACCACGGCTCGAGACACCAACGATGGGAGCATCTCTGCCCACTTCACCTGGTGAGGGGTGGAGGGAGAGGGGGAAGGAGCAGTTGGGTGCGGCACGAGAGGGGAGAGTAAAGTGGGAATCGTCCTTCGAAGTCGACTCCAAAAATACCTAGTGACTCAAGCACCAGCAAGGGCGAGGGCGTAGGGTTTATGAAGAGCTCCACAAGGCTGAGGGCACTCGGCAACACCAGCGATGGCATGCTCCACATGAAGCCTGTCTGAAAGCCCTGGCACACAAGCATCAACTCATGCGAGCAACAAAACATGGAAGCACACCTTAGTGATGCAGAGTCACTCATCAAGCCTCAACTCAACACTCACCGGATCCATAAAGAGCTCTACGAATGCGAGGGCGTTCAGAGACACCACTCCCCTCGCGCGCTCGATGCCTCAATGGACAACCCATGCGACAAACACCACATGGATTTACACGTCACACCACTACTCGCCAAACACCCACGGATCCATGAATACTCAAAGCCACGCACCATCCAAACTCACCGGATCCATGAAGAGCTCTACGAGTGCGAGGGCGTTCAGCGACACCACTCCCCTCGCACCCTCAATGCCTCAATGGACAACCCCGAAGGGCCGTCCCCCACACATGAACAGCAATCAAGTCATGCATACACCCATCCTCAGCACCCACCGGATCCATGAATAGCTCTACGAGCGCGAGGGCGTTCAGAGACACCACTCCCCGCGCCCTAGATGCCTCAATGGACAACCCCGGAGGGCCGTCCCCCACACAGTTGGGGAACCGCAGCCGATACTCCGTGCGGTTCAGCTGCTCGCCCCCGTTCCCCACCATGCCTCCTCCCCCACTTCCCATCCCCCCGTTCCCCGCACCCCCTCCCCCCCCCCCCAGCGCCCCCGCTCCCACCGCTCCCACCACTCCCGTGCCTGTCGAAGGCTCGGGAGAGCAGGCCCGGGAGCCAGAGAGGTTCGTTGATCTGCGCCAAGCCTACGAGCTCCTCTAGAGAGGAGACTGCTAAGTCCATCACCACATCTCGCTCTGAGTCTGACAGACCTCCGCCCTCCCCTGATGCGCCTAGCAGGGCCCCCATGGCCTCCCCCCCCACAGGGTTCATCATGCCTCCCCCTGTTCGCAATGATGCTGGGAAACCTGGGCCTAGTCCTAATGCCCCCCCTGCTGCTGCTCCTCCTCCCGCTCCTCCCGCTCCTCCTGCTCCTCCTGCTCCTCCTGCTCCTCCTAATCCTCCTGCTGCTAGCCCCCACCCGCTAGCCAGGCCGAACAGAGAACCGTTCGCTCCTCCCCCTCCCCCTCCCCCTCCTCCTCCTGCTGCAGCAGCTGCAGCGGCGTCAGCATGAGCAGCGGTGCGGGCAGCTCCATTCCCCCCCATGTCGTATAGCAACCCGCTGCTGCTGCTCCCTGCTCCGCCTCCCCCTCCCCCTCCTCCTCCGCCTCCTCCTCCCCCTCCCCCTCCTCCGCCTCCTCCTCCTCCTGCTGCAGCAGCAGCATGGGGCGAGGCGTTGGAGTGGTTGCTTCTCCCCGTGTTGCTCCGGTGGAAATCCGACAACCCGTCCATGCCACTCGTCCCCACGCCTCCCCCCCCTGCTGACCCCCCCGCTGCTGCTGCTCTGGGTGCAGCAGGGGGTGGTGCGTCACCGCCCAACAGGCGCATCATCCCATGCTCATTCATACCCCTCCCCGCCGCCACCGCCGCTGCACCAGCAGCAGAGAAGCCCCCTTGAGTTGCATCCATGTTGAATCGGGACGAAGGGACCATATCCCCTAGCAACCCTCCCATTGACTGCTGCTGCTGCTGCTGCTGCTGCTGCTGCTGCTGCTGCTGCTGTTGCTGTTGTTGCTGTTGCTGCTGTTGCTGTTGCTGTTGAAACTGCTGCATACGCTGAATTGCACTAGCATTAGACTCCATGCCAAAACTCCCAACAGCACCACCACCAGCAGCAGCAGCGCCGAAATCCCTGCCTCCCATCCCCATGCCACCAGCACCACCATCCTGCACCATCCCAGGGTTACCAATTCCATCCATACCCCCACCCCCATTCCCACCACCGCCGGCACCGGCACCAGCATTGCCGGCAGCAGAGGGGTTCCCAGCACCAGCGCCCATGCCTGGTGCCTGCATGCCGCCAGCAGCAGCGGCGTTGAGAGCAGCGGCGTTGAGAGCAGCGACTGTGGCGGGCCCCATGGGATCCACCGCGCCTCTCGCTGCCAGCTGCCGCGCTGCCAGCATTGACACTCGCTCTATCTGCACAGCACACACGGTTGGAGGAGACGGGGGAGCCGAAAAAGATTCGGGGGTTGGAAGAGGACAGGTGGATGCAGGGCGAGCGAGGCAGCAGCAGCGGCGTTGAGAGCAGCAGCGTGGAGAGCAGCGACTGTGGCGGGCCCTATGGGATCCACCACCGCACCCCTTGCTGCCAGCTGCCGCGCTGCCAGCATTGACACTCGCTCTCTCTGCCAGGCAGTCTCAGGAGGACGAGAGGGGGCAGGAGATGGCGGAGTGGGGAAGAAGAAAGGCGGACGCAGGGCGAGAGTGGCCTTCCTCCTTCACTTCACACCACATCACTCAGTAACTTGGCCCTACCTCGCTCTTGAGGTGTGCGTTCTCCTCCATGCGCGGAGCCGCCGCCACGGGCGAGGCATCGTGTCCGGAACGAATGCTGCCCGGCACGAGGCAGATGCCGAGTGCCAATGCACTCTCTCACAAAACGAACGGCCTGAAGCTAACCCCCGTACCTCGTTCTTGAGGTGCGCATTCTCCTCCATGAGTTGAGCCGTCACGGCCGAGGCATCGTGCATGGAGTCACCACCGCTTCCCGGCACGAGGCGCGTGTGGCACGCGGGGCACGCGGCAGCAGCCAGCACGGAGCGCAGGCGCATCACCTCGCTGCGCAGCCGGTCGTTCTCCTGCCTCAGCATTGCGTTTTCCGCTCGTTCGGTTTGAGCCTGGTGATGGCAAGTGGCACAGGGAAGGGACACGCAGGTGCAAGGGGAGTCAGGACTGCAGCAGCAGCAGCAGCAGCAGCAGCAGCAGCAGCAGCCAGCACGGACCGCAGGCGCATCACCTCACGCGCAGCCGGTCGTTCTCCTGCCTCAGCATCGCATTCTCAGCCCGCTCGGTTTGAGCCTGGTGATGACAAGAGACACAGGGAAAGAGGCACATAGAAACAGGCAGAAGGGGACGGGGAGTCAGCCGCATCACATCACGACATAGCCGGTCATTCTCATGCCGCAGCGATGCGTTCTCAGCTCTATCCTTTGCATTCTCCGCTCACTCCGTTTGAGAAAGTTACAATCGCAAGCACAGCAGCGGGCCATTCACCTTCATCCGCGTGCGTCGGTTCTGGAACCAGAACTTGATTTGCCGTGGCGCCAACGATAGTCTATTTTTGAAGCGCATCAACAATAGAGCTTGCGTTGACTCACCTTCATCTGCGTGCGGCGGTTCTGGAACCAGAACTTGACTTGCCGTGGCGCCAACGACAGCCGTTGGCTCAGCTGCTGCCTCTGTCGCTCGTCCGGATGCGGGCACTCACGGAACAACCTGCCAGGTGGTGAGAGGAGGGCGGAGACGGATACAGAGCAGAGACAGGACAGAGGGAACAGATGGCACGGATGGCGCAAGCAATAGTGACACCATCCCCAGCAGCAGGCACGCACGCACGCACGCACGCAACGGAGGCATACAGAATGAGCTGTGGGTTCAGTGAGCCTAATACCACTTTATTATAGAGAAGAGAACACCGGTGAGAGGGAGATACGCTGATCTTACCATATCTTATCAACCAGTCTGTCACACATCATCACATCTCCTCCGCTCACCACTCCTCAACGTCTCCTTTCCTCTCCTCCCCCCTCTCCCCTCCTTTGCCCCCCTTTTTTCAGCCCTACCCCACCGCTCCTCACCGTTCCATTTCTTGGATCTGCTGCGCCGTGTGGCGGTGATACCGCTTGCCCTTCTTCTTATCCCGCCCGCCCATCCCCTCCCCATCCGACGTCCCATCCTCCTCGCTCCCCGACCGGCTATCGTCTCCCCCCACTCCCCCCATTCCGCCCAATCCCCCCAACCCCCCATTTCCCCCGCCAGCCACGCCAACTCCTTCCGCCCCTCCCGCTCTGTTCCCCCCAACCCCTGCTTGCACTCCGCCGTTCTGCTCCCCCCCTGCGCCTCCGCTCCCGTCTCTCCCCGCGTCGGCTTGCGCTTCCCGCGCGCTTACCCCGCCGCTTCCGCCACTGCCCCAGCTGCTGCCCCCTTCCCGCCCGCCGCCGTCTCTGTTTGCGCCGACCTGCGCCTCAGGCGCGCTGAAGGGGCCCGGCGGGGGGAACGGATTGGCAGAAATCTCCTGCGCGGTGGGGAGATTGTTGAGCAAATCGCCGAGCACCTGACGCGTGTGGCGCGGAGGGCAAGGGGAAATGCGCGGAGGGGAGGGGAGATAAGCCGCAGAGGGCGAGGGGACGGCCTGGGACAAGCGTAACGACAAGGAGCTGGGAAACGGGGAACGTCATGATATGATCCAGGTGAAGCCATGATATAGCGCAATGCGATGCAGCGCCGACGTTTGCAAGTTATTATGTCGCGCCTAGTAAAGGCCATTTCAGCCGCCGCGAGCCCAGGAAGCTATAGTCCCCATTGCGGCCCGACGGACGGCAAAAATACGACGACCCTAATTAACGTCGTGAACTGCGGCATCATCATTTATGAAAGTGGACAACAGAACGTACGAAGCGCATTTGCCGCCAGCGCAGAGCAAGTGGCACGTCGCGCCAGGCACTAGCGGCTGAGTACTACAACCATTTCGACGTCAGACGTCGTCCATAAGAGCTTCCTGCCGCGATTGACATATTACCACCTCGAAGGCTATCTGACCTGATCGCTGTCGCCTGTCTGCTCCATTATGTTCGCCGACTATCGGAGGAGCCCTCCACTCGTCGCGTGATGTGCGATGTCAACTCAAAATTTGTCGATAATTTGTCGATGACAATTTCCACAATCATACGGCGCTTGATCGGACACGCTTCATCGACCTGGTCCGGAAACAGTACGGAATTCCAAAAACACTTCTTCCTAGAGAACAAGTGCAACGCAAGCCGCTTCGCCAATTCCTGCTGCTGACGTGAGCATCGCACTCGCCAGCAGCACACGAGAGTCAAACGTCCAAGACAAGTGTAACGCATAGAACCGTCGTCACAAAAGCAAACTGGTTTGACATCCGCAGCTCCAACAGAATTGAGTGCAGTAGGGTGAGCTGGAGAGAGTGAGGAGCATTCACTACCGAGCAGCAGATTCCAGTGTTATTTGCTGTCCCTGAGCACGTCCGCCAACGCCATTAACTACGCTCGATTGACTTGGCTCAGTTGGGGATGAACTCAGCAACCCTCTCTTCTGGGATGTGTGAGGAGGAACAGCAAACGACTAGGGTTTCGCTCACATCTTGCCGTCAGTGAAGTTCCACGGTGTCACAATCGACGGTTGCGATGAATTTTATCCTCCATACATTAATGTTGGTGATACGTAACGAACGCCCGTCATAAAGGCGTGATAAGTGTACCAGTCAAGTGGAGAATTTGGGTTTTCCCTGACCGGGACATTCACGAATTTGGTTCCAACGACAAACAATCTCTTCTCTCGATCGTTCTTCGGAAGTTTCGTCAGGACTAAGTGCAATCGAATCCAACCCCAGTAGGATCCTCACTCAAGGGACGGCTGCCCAGTGGCCATGTGTTGGGCAACAAGCAAGGCTTTCTCGATGCGTTTTGTAGTACCCAGCCAACTATGAGCAGAAACCGAGTAGTCTCTTCTACTGGAAGGCGAAGTGTTGCACAGCACGATAAAACTATACAGAAATATCGTCAAATTCACGCTACTTCCACGGCCCAGCGGCACGCTCCCAACCTCAGTGAACAAAGGGTTCACCACTGGTTTAGCCGAAACAGAGTAGTAATTACCACCACTTTAAAGTTTGAAAAGCCCAGTTGTGCGGGTGAACATTTCAGCCCTCTTTTGTCGTGGACGTTACGTGGTGAAGTTCATTCCAGCTTCCCAACGGAAAGCTCCTCGCCCGAATACAAATGATGCTCGTTTGACTAACCCAAGGTTGCCTTGTAAAGGGGGATTTAAACGGCTTGATAAAATGTCGCGAATTTCGTCAACGTCGCACCTAGAAAAAAAGGGTAATAATGAAATTATAACTCCTCGTTGACTTTTTGACTTTGGTCTCTTCAGTTTGACTATAGTTTCTGTAGTTTATATTAGTTCATAGTCAGTGCAGCTTGCTCAGGGTGGTTATAACGTGGGTGCAAATGGCTGGCGCAAAATACACGGGTGCAGACTTTCTGGCGCGTACAGGGCAAATTCGCGCACAGCAGCTGAGCAACATGTGTACTGTACTGTACTGTACTGCTCAAAGGATAGCATGGGAGCTGAACATGCGAATTCCAACACATGAAGAAAGTGACATGAGGGAATCTGTGTGTTGCCACCGCTACCCGCTATCCGTCGATGTCGGAAAACACCTTGCGATCACAGCGCATTTGCTGGATGTTCCATTTGCGATTCCCTCTGCGTTCCTGTCACTGTAAAACACACGTTCTATCTTCTCGGAGGCTCGAAACCTGTGTAGTGTCAGTAACACACGAATAGGAGTGGTGACACATATGATGTACGGAGCATATAACATGTGTAATGGACTGTACTTAGAGAACCAAAGTCGGAGTACACGTACGAAAATTGTACAGGGGTACCTCGGGTACGGAAACTACATGTACAGAATTTGTGGAAGTGCCCGGGAACCCGCTGGTAAAAAACGACAAACGGACGCGTTTGTCATCTTGAACTCGCCTCATTTTTGTTTTCTTGAACAGACTTGGGGTGCGTTCTTGCCTCGTGTCTGACATCAGGTCATTAGGTCATCAGGTCATCGTGTCTTCTTGGCATGCCATCCGAGGGAGGCATCAACCCTAAATCACAGGGAGGCATGGATTTAGGATTGATGCCTCCCTGACCGGATGCATGCCCGAATGGAGTTTATTTTTTTTGCCCGCGGGCAGCGAGCTCATCCGGGCGGGGTCGCTTGTCGGCTGAGCTATACTGAGCCGATTTATCAGGCTGAGGTAATGTTGCAAATCAGACTTGGAAAAACAAAAAAACATAGATTGCAGGGTATTTGACCGGGAGGGTGCATCAACACCATCTCTGGGCCCTGCACCACACCCAATACAAGCTCTTGCTGCACCGCCTTATCAAACACAAATCAATCAGTGATTACCTTGAGGACCTTAATGCATACTCCTACTCCCTCCCAATCGCCGTGCATTACCAGAGTCAAACTTAACCGCACAACTGTTGATTGAATTGCCTACCCTAAAGCAACCGTCGGCTCCATCCACTCCCACTGTCAGTCACTTAAGTGCGCTGCAGATTACCGTAGGAACAAAAGAGAGCGCCAGAGATCTAATGGAATACTGAAACAGAATCAAGAAGTAGGGTCAGGGAAGGATACACAGTGCCCCATTGCGACACAAACACATCAACCACGTCAGCTACACTACACCCTCGCTGTCACTGTAGACGGAATCATTGGTGAGTGGGGTGAGGCAGAAGGGAAGGCGGAAGGAGGCGATGATGTTGGCTCGTGACCGGGCGATGGCTCTTCGCCTCTTGGCCTGCTTTGTCTCTGCCTCTGATGGTGGCGGCGGTGCTTCTGGCACCTCGCATTGATTCGCAACCACCCATGGGTGCTCTGCAGGGACGGAGAGGCGGAGAGAGAAGTGCCAAGGGAGAGGAGGGAGAACGGCAGAGGGAGAGACCGAGGGAGAAGGGCAGAGGGAGAGACGAGACGAGGGAAGAAGTGAGCGAGACGAATGGGATGAGGGAGGGGGATGAGTGGAGGGAAGGGATGTCAATTAGAAGGGAAGCACGGAAGGCAGAAGGATGAAGGTGGCGCTGCCGCCCCTCACACGACTTGCCACTCCAACTCATCCCCACACCCACTCACCAATCACTTGGTCCAGAGTGATGCGCTGGCTGGCATCAGACATCAGCATGCGGTGCACGAGCCCCTTGGCATCCCTCGAGATGCCCGCCAGCCCACCGACCGGTGCGCGTGTCCACATAGACCAACACCTACAGCACGGCGACTCCCACTGACCACACCCACTCACCAATCACTTCATCCAAGGTAATGCGTTGTTGGCTGGCATCGCTGGTGAGCATGCGGTGCACGAGCCCTTCAGCATCTCTTGAGATGCTGGTGCAGGGCCTTGTGCGCGTGTCCACATGGCCCTTGAGGATCAGCTTGTACACACCGCCCTGTGCTCCCACCCATCACACGTCCAACAAACCCCACACCCCACCCCACCAACACCCACTCACCAATCACTTCATCCAGGGTAATGCGCTGACTCGCATCGGACGTCAGCATGCGGTGCACGAGCCCCTTAGCATCCCTGGAGATGCTGGTCCAGGGCCCGGTGCGCGTGTCCACGTGGCCCTTGAGGATCAGCTTGTAGACACCCGCGTCCGAGTCGTGCCAGAAGGGCAGCTTCTGTGCGAGCAGCACGTACAGCACCACGCCCAGCGACCACACGTCGCACTCGAATGCGTACGCTCCGCCCAGCACCTCCGGGGCGATGTAGAATGGGCTGCCCGCATAGCCTCGAATGCGCTCGCCTGATGGGGGGAGGAGGGGAGGGGGACTGGAGAATAGCTGATTTGTGAGAAACAAAAAAAAACCCGATTGGGGGCGAGGTAAAACGGTCTGCTTGCATTGCCTTGAATGTGCTCGCTTGATGGGGTGTAATGAGGGGTTGCGCACACACCAAGGGGTTGCGCACACACCAAGGGGTTGCGCACACACCAAGGGGTTGCGCACACACCAAGGGGTTGCGCACACACCAAGGGGTTGCGCACACACCAAGAGGGGAAGGATTGATTTGAGAAATTTCAGACTTGATTTGATTGCTCAAAGGAAGAGCGATGCAGATAGGCAGATAGGGGTACCTGCAGCACACTGTCACCCAATGGCGGAGTCGGGCAGCAGGTTACATGATGTTCTCCAAGTGAACTCGAAAGTCACCTGGACACACCCATCACATCCCCGCCCACCTGGCTTGAGCATGGCGGAGATGCCAAAGTCAGCAACCCGCAGGTCCCACCAGGCGTCCTTGGCGGCCATGAGGATGTTCTCAGGCTTGAGGTCCCGGTGCACCACGCCCTGGCGGTGGCAGTAGCGCACTGCACACCGCATTGTACCCCACTGTACCACACTGTACCTGGCTTGAGCATGGCGGAGATGCCAAAGTCAGCGACCCTCAGGTCCCACCAGGCGCCTTTTGCGGCCATGAGGATGTTCTCGGGCTTGAGGTCGCGGTGCACCACGCCCTGGCGGTGGCAGTAGCGCACGGCGTCCGCCAGGCGCCTTACTATGGTGGCCGCCTGCTGCTCCGAGATGGCTGGCGCCGTGTTCACGAAGTTGAGGAGGTCACCCCCGCTGCACAGCTCCATTAGGAGGTGCACGTGCTGTAGGGGAGGAGAAGGGGGAGGGAGGGCGGACAAGGACTAGGCGCCTTACTATGGTGGCGGTTTGCTGCTCCAAGATGGCCGGCGCCGTGTTCACGAAGTTTAGGAGATCTCCCCCGCTGCACAGCTCCATCAGCAGATGCACGTGCTGGGGGGGTGGGGAGTGGGGTGAGTGGGGGGGTGGGGGAGGGGGCAAGGGGGAATTTCATAAGTTTAGGAGATCTCCCCCGCTGCACAGCTCCATTAGGAGGTGCACGTGTTGGGGGGGCCTGGAAGAGGGGGATATGAGGGGGAGAAGGGGAGAGAAGGGGAGAGAAGAAGGGGGAGAGTGGGGGTGCATTGAATATTGAGAAGTTGAGCAGATCGCCCCCGCCGCACAGCTCCATCAGGGGGTGCATGTGCTGGCAGGGGGGAGTGGGGTGGGTGGGTGGGGAAATGGAGGAGATGAAGGGAGTTTGAACACAGAGGCACGTCCGGGGGCACGGTGTGTGAGCGATGCTTGCATGGGGTGGTTTGCATGCAAACATGCTTGCATGGGGTGGTTTGCATGCAAACATGCTTGCATGGGGTGGTTTGCATGCAAACATGCTTGCATGGGGTGGTTTGCATGCAAACATGCTTGCATGGGGTGGTTTGCATGCAAACATGCTTGCATGGGGTGGTTTGCATGCAAACATGCTTGCATGGGGTGGTTTGCATGCAAACATGCTTGCATGGGGTGGTTTGCATGCAAACATGCTTGCATGGGGTGGTTTGCATGCAAACATGCTTGCATGGGGTGGTTTGCATGCAAACATGCGTGCATGGGGTGGTTTGCATGCAAACATGCTTGCATGGGGTGGTTTGCATGCAAACATGCTTGCATGGGGTGGTTTGCATGCAAACATGCTTGCATGGGGTGGTTTGCATGCAAACATGCGTGCATGGGGTGGTTTGCATGCAAACATGCTTGCATGGGGTGGTTTGCATGCAAACATGCTTGCATGGGGTGGTTTGCATGCAAACATGCTTGCATGGGGTGGTTTGCATGCAAACATGCGTGCATGGGGTGGTTTGCATGCAAACATGCTTGCATGGGGTGGTTTGCATGCAAACATGCTTGCATGGGGTGGTTTGCATGCAAACATGCTTGCATGGGGTGGTTTGCATGCAAACATGCGTGCATGGGGTGGTTTGCATGCAAACATGCTTGCATGGGGTGGTTTGCATGCAAACATGCTTGCATGGGGTGGTTTGCATGCAAACATGCTTGCATGGGGTGGTTTGCATGCAAACATGCGTGCATGGGGTGGTTTGCATGCAAACATGCTTGCATGGGGTGGTTTGCATGCAAACATGCTTGCATGGGGTGGTTTGCATGCAAACATGCTTGCATGGGGTGGTTTGCATGCAAACATGCTTGCATGGGGTGGTTTGCATGCAAACATGCGTGCATGGGGTGGTTTGCATGCAAACATGCTTGCATGGGGTGGTTTGCATGCAAACATGCTTGCATGGGGTGGTTTGCATGCAAACATGCTTGCATGGGGTGGTTTGCATGCAAACATGCGTGCATGGGGTGGTTTGCATGCAAACATGCTTGCATGGGGTGGTTTGCATGCAAACATGCTTGCATGGGGTGGTTTGCATGCAAACATGCTTGCATGGGGTGGTTTGCATGCAAACATGCTTGCATGGGGTGGTTTGCATGCAAACATGCGTGCATGGGGTGGTTTGCATGCAAACATGCTTGCATGGGGTGGTTTGCATGCAAACATGCTTGCATGGGGTGGTTTGCATGCAAACATGCTTGCATGGGGTGGTTTGCATGCAAACATGCGTGCATGGGGTGGTTTGCATGCAAACATGCTTGCATGGGGTGGTTTGCATGCAAACATGCTTGCATAGGGTGGTTTGCATGCAAACATGCGTGCATGGGGTGGTTTGCATGCAAACATGCGTGCATGGGGTGTTTTGCATGCAAACATGCGTGCATGGGGTGGTTTGCATGCAAACATGCGTGGATGGGGTGGTTTGCATGCAAACATGCTTGCACGGGGTGGTTCTTGCATCAAGTAATGATAGTAGGGGCCAGGTGCATTTAAGTGCATTTAGAGGCGCCTCAAAATGATAGTAGGGGCCAGGCGGGTGGGCAGAGCAGGACAGTGGGGATGAGGGGGGACAAGGTGGGAGGGAGGTGGGGAAGTGGGGAGGGGAGGATGTGAGCGAGTGGCCAAGTGGGCAGATGAGGAGGGAGAGGGAGGAGTTGAAGAGGGAAGGGAACGCCACAATCCACCCACCCCTGTCAACCACTGTCTCCCACCACCACCCATCATTCACCGCATCACCCACCACCCACACCAACCACCCACAACTCACCGTGTCATCCTGAATAGCGCCACGGACGGACACGATCCCTCCATGCACGCTCAGCTGCTTCATCAGCTCCACCTCCAGCCGCACTTTTGAGACGTCTGCAAAATCACCCCCAGTACCACCCCACCAACTCACCTACCACCCACGAAATCACTCACCGTATCAACCACCACCCACAGATTCACTCACCGTATCAACCACCACCCACAGATTCACTCACCGTATCATCCTCAATGGCATCTCGAACCGACACGATGCCGCCATGCACGCCCAGCTGCTTCATCAGCTCCACCTCCAGCCGCAGAGCCTCCGCCTTCTTATCATCATCCAGCGTCTTCTTGTCTATCGACTTGCACGCGAGCGCGCGCCCACTCCTCCTTGCCGTGCATGCATACACCACCACGCCCGGCCGTCCCTCGCCGATCTTATCCCCCACCTCGTACACCTTCCGCACGTCCGCGTATCCCCGTTTTAAGATGCCCTCTTTCCCGCCAGTGCCTACTGTCCATTCCTCCGGGCTGCCCCCGCCGTCCCCTCCCCCTCGGGGGCTGCGCATTGAGCCTGTGCCTGTGAGGCTGTGTGCTATACCGCGCGGGCTCTTATCGAAGCGTTTGGATCCGCTGAAGGAGAACAGCCGCGGGCTGCGCAGGGGGGAGAGGGACGGGCGGGACGCGCTCTTCCGCTCGCCTGTTGCTGCCTCCGCGGGGCTCCCGCTCCTGCCCCCCGCACCCCCACCCCCTCCTCCTCCTCCCCCCGCTCCTCTCGGCGAAACCCCCACTGCAGCGGCGCCCGCGGCCCAGTCGTCTCCGCCTGTAGGGCTCTTAAGCCCCGCGCCAGTGGCGAGGTCGAACGTGCCTGACAGCCGCGGCGAGCGCAGCCCCTTGAGCAACCCCAGGAACGCCCTCCGCCCCGACTTGCTCTGATCCAGAACCGGACCTCCGCCCGCTGCCCTTCCCCTTTCCCCCCCCGCTGCTTCCCCCGCTGCTTGCGCCCCCTCCCGCCCCCCATCCCCCGACCCCACCACCACTGGCCCGGAAAACGACGCGTTTGCTGCCGCCCCCGCGGACAGCTTGCCGAGTTCGAGAGCAGGCGGGCGGCGGAGGAGAGAGTCCGCCACTGGAGTGTCTTCCGCGTCCCCCGCCGCCTCCCCCGCGACCTTCTTAAGCGACTTGGAGAACCGCAGCTTAGCTCGGTTCGCCGCGCGCCCAGCCGTCCCTCCGCCTGCCGCCGCCGCCGCCGCTGCCGCCGCGTCGTCCGCGTCCTCGCTACTGTGCACTCCGCTACCGTGCATCCCACCTTGCGGGACCTCCGACGCGAATCGCGCGTGGCGCGGGGAGCGGTTATCCGCGGACGTCCCCCGCCGGAACTGCCCGCTTCCCCCGCCTGCGCTCCCTGCGCCCCCTCCCCCGCCGCTGCCGCTACCACCACTGCTGCTGGCGTGTAACTGCTGATGACGGTGGTGACCCTGCTGCTGTTGCTGCTGCTGCTGCTGCGCGTGGTGGTAGTGGTGATGGTTCCTACCCACATCATCCCGAGCCACGAGCGATCCCGAGCCTGGTCCTCTCCGCCTCTCGCTCTCTTTTAACCCTAGAATCTGCCGCGCTGCCGCTGCTCCCCCGTGGCCTGCCGCGGCCGCAGCGGCCAGCTGCAGCTGCTGCTGCTGCTCCCGCCGCAACGCGTCCAGCTTGTCCAAACCTAGCCCCAAGCCGTCAGCTTCGGCCATGCTCGCCGTGGCTCGGGATTTACCGGACCTGGACTGAGGGCCGGAACCGAGATTCGACCCTCCGCCGCCGGATGGGCCGCCCGCGCGCGGGGAGAGCGCGGCCTGCGGACCCGAATGCGCGGCGGCGTGCGGTCCGGAGTGGTTGAACGTGGTCGCGGCGTGCGAGGAGCGCGGATTGAAGGACGCCGACGCGGACAGGCGCCTCGAGGACGACTTCTGCGGCGCGTCGACCGACGCTCTTAACGACCCCGTGCTGCTGCTGAACCCGCTGCTGCCGCTAAAATTATTCATGCTTCCGCCTAAATTATTCATGCTTCCGCCCTCCAGAGACGTTCTCCTTCCCCCCGTGCTTCCGCCTTCCGCCCTGTGCCGTCTCTCCGCGTTGCTGGTGGTATGGAAACGCGACACTGCCCCCAACCCGCCACTGGGGCTCAGCGGACCGTTTCCCTTGTGCGCAAACCCCGCGTCCTTCCCGCTTCCGCTGGCGCCGCTGATGGCGCGCGCGCCCTTCTTTCCGCGCATGGCGTCCGACGCAGTGTGCGCGCGCCGGGCGGGGGGGGGCTGTTCCGTGTCCTCCGGGTCCTCAATCCCGTCCTCATCCTCATCGTCGCTGCGCAGAAGCTCCTTCGGCGGAGGCTGCGCGTGCGCGGGTTGCGAAGCCCCGGACCAGCGCGCGGACACGTGGCGGGGCGGGGAAGACGGGTGCTGCCTCATGTCAAAAACGAACTCCCGGGAAAGAGACGCCGCTCCGTACCCTGAAGATCCGGACATTGCGGTAGCCGAACCTGCTGCCGAGCCTGCTCCCGAACCTGAAGAAATGGCGGACCCAGGCCTACTGCCGCCACTGCTCCCAGGCCTAGCTCGATCTCGGTAGTAGCTGATTCCTCTACCGGAAAAACCGGAAGAATCCGACGAATCGTCATCGTCGAACCCTACATTGTCACATTCGTCTACATGCGAGCCTTTGCTGCTAGCCCGAGTCGACCCCTTTCTCCCCCCGCTTTTCCCTCGATAATCATTCTCGGCGGCGCGCAACGGGCTGCTCTGAAGATTCGGAATGCCAAGAGCGTTGATACGTTCCGCAATGTTTTCTACGGGCAGCGGGTCGAAAAAAGGTTGCGATAGAGACCGGTGATGTTTCTTCTGCGATGGCGGAGGAGCCTGCTCCGCGTGTCCGCGGGAAAGGGGGGAGTTGCGCGGGGAACGGCCAGTGTCGTGGTACGGGGGGAACGCGGGAGAAGGGGAGACGTCGCGGCGATTCGGGTAAGAGAGTTCCGCGCGGTGGAAATCCTCCATGCCATGGAGGTCCGTCCCCGAGCGCCGATGGTACGACCGATTAGCCATGAATCGGTTGCACGTCCGTGTTGGCGTTAACGAAGATAGGACGTATAAATAAGCAACTAGAAGGGCCGGCTGGGAGAGGGAGGAGGCTGACTGACATTGATGGTGTTCCGGTCACACTGCTTCCCCCAATAGGTGGCAAAAAAATAGGGCGTTAATGCATGCGATAATGACGGCCTGAGAGGGATGAGGCTGACTGACGCCAGCAAAGTCCGGCCATGGTCCCAAGCTAATAGGAAGGCCTATCTACCAGCATGGTGAAGCCATGGATGAAAGGTTGTGGATGATGGACGCTTGTGAGAGCCGGTTTGTGGAGGAGGTTCTCTCGGGGTACACTTAGCATTAGCCTCTGCTCTTGTATTGAACCCCTCCAGATCGAGCGTTTAGCCAAGCATTGGTATTGAAATTGGACAGGAACGGGCTTCCGGGGAGATTAGTAGCTTGTCAAACAGATGACAGAAACCCCACAGCAGTTTTGGGTGGAAAATACCACCCGCGTGCTTTGGGTGAGGGGAGTTTTCACGACGGGGAACATGATGCAATCCACGGCGGTTTGGCCTAGCGTAGACTTGGCGGCCATTTTCAGGTGCATGCCACATAGCCTGGAAAATGTTTTCAAGTGCATACCATGTTATTCGGCAGGTGTGTACACTTTACGCAGCTTAGAAAATTGTTATCGTAATATGACGCGCTTCCCAAGATTCGTTTCGATTTAGCACAAACAGTCAGGAATAGATGCGTTTACGGGTTACGCAAAGCCAAATCGGGAATGGTTGGCTCTCGATTCTACATTTTCTGACGTCACCAGAAGCAATCATTGCATGTTTGCCCAATTTCGACGCGGATTTATGCTTTGCCCCAAATCTTCTCAAACGAACTTAAAATGTTAACTCGGTTGTACTGTTGACGCGGGTGATGGACGCTGCGCATGGCAAATCAACACATTTTTCTTGCACGTGCAGAAATTAAGAAAGGATGATCCGAAACGTGAAAAACCTGCCCGAGTTCTAATTGAGTTTCCTTTACCGCTATATGATAAAAACGCTACAAGTATTATAAATGGTAAGTAATGAAAGCTAAGGTATCCCAACAATTATAATATACATGTACCATAACAACATTATTTTTTGTACGGGCTAACTTTAAAAACATTCGGGCAGACTTTTCATGGAACTACCCTTTCCAAATTTCTGCACGTGCAAGAAAAATGTGTTGATTTGCCATGCGCAGCGTCCATCACCCGCGTCAACAGTACAACCGAGTTAACATTTTAAGTTCGTCTGAGAAGATTTGGGGCAAAGCATAAATCCGCGTCGAAATTGGGCAAACATGCAATGATTGCTTCTGGTGACGTCAGAAAATGTAGAATCGAGAGCCAACCATTCCCGATTTGGCTTTGCGTAATCCGTAAACGCACCTATTCTTGACTGTTTGTGCTAGTTCGAAACGAATCTTGGGAAGCGCGTCATATTACGATAACAATTTTCTAAGCTGCGTAAAGTGTACACACCTGCCGAATAACATGGCATGCACTTGAAAACATTTTCCAGGCTATTTGGCATGCACCTGAAAATGCCCGTACACTTGGCGAGGAATGAGCAAGAAAATCTTGAGAATGTCGAGAGTCGAGACTAGTCGGGGGGACAACTACGGCCCACCAGCGTGCTTTGTGTACATCGAGTGGCTGAAAACAGCCAGAACGTTTCAAGGAGCAGTCAGGGTCGTCGATTCACAAATTACGTCGTCCTTGCCTGCAAGAATGCTGTGTGGCAGGCAAGCAAACCATATCTTCAAGCGCTAGCACCACCAACCTGGGCAGGAATTGAAATGCTTGGTTTTGGCATGGGTTGTTACACTTTCTGAGTCTTCAATCTTACCTTGTCCAAATCAACACTTTCGCTGGCATTCTGAAGGTCCATAATTTGAAAGCAGTTGCTTCGTAGCGGGTACAAATTCAAACATTCAATATTGCTGTCGTCTGCAAGAAGCCTCCAATACCCACATACCTTTCTTCAGTGACAGAACTCCCAGTTTCATGAGTTTTTCCTAAGAAAAGCGATCAAGTTATCCCGCATTCGTGCGCGAAACCATTCTTCAGTGACCGTTACCAAGCACCAGACTAGTTGAACATACCCTGTCGCCATGGGAATTAAAGTAAGCGGCGTTGGACTGTATCGGACCTTATCATTCAGCTGCACTAGCCGTTGAAGACGTTGCGTCCAATTCATTTATCGCGTCGCACATGCACCATTCATTCATCGCGTCGCACATGCATCGTTTCAGATACATCCACCACCTGTCATGCATCCATCACTCATTTCCGGTATTAGCTTCTAATTCCTCCGCTACATGCTCTTTCACATCGCTACATGTAACATTGATATACTCATGACTGCTGCATGTCGACCCGCGTGCCCGTCCGTCTGCCACGTGGCGTTCAGGGATTGACGAAGCTGTTAGCGGACAACGCGCCGGGGTGTATGAGGGAGCAGAAGCTGGAGAGCTACTTCGGCCGCAAGATCGCCATTGACGCCAGCATGAGCATCTACCAGTTCCTGGTGACGTCTAGCAGTTCCTGGAGACGTCTAGCAGTTGCTGGTGACGTCTAGCAGTTCCTGGAGACGTCTAGCAGTTCCTGGTACCGTCTAGCAGTTCTTAATACCGTCTAGCAGTTCCTGGTACCGTCTAGCGGTCCCGGGAACGTCTAGCAGTTCCTGGTACCGTCTCGCAGTTCCTGGTACCGTCTATCAGTTCTTTACAACGTCTAGCAGGTCCCGATGATGTAATGTCAAACAGTCCCTGAAATCTTGTTTTGGTTCCTGGTAGCGTTTATCATTTCCCAGCGACTTTCATCGGGTACCGTCTCTGCCGTTTCTCACCGTTTCTCACCGTACTCCTCACCTCTTTCCCCTGGTGTCGTCAGATCGTGGTGGGGAGACAAGGCACAGAAACACTCACCAACGAGGCGGGCGAAGTCACAAGGTGAGGCCGTTACCACACAAGGGGGTTACCAGCTGAACATAAGCGACGGGGTGAAGAGGCAGAGGTAACCTGCTCACCTCTTGGTTTTTCTCTCATGGAAACATATGAAGCCATCCCTTTTCCTCCATACCTCTCCCGACCCCTCTCCTTCCTCTCCTCTCCTTACCTTTCCTCTTCCCCCAATTCTCCTCCCTCCTCTCCTGTTCCCCCCGCTCCGTGCCTGTCCCGCCAGTCACCTGCAGGGAATGTTCACGCGGACCATTCGGATCTTAGAGGCTGGTCTCAAGCCAATGTAAGTCACACTGCTTTACCGGATTCACTAGAACCACTGGCTATATGTTTTGAAGCCCTTTAAAACACCAACCAGTCTGTAGCTCGATGCGTGCAGTAGATACCCGCATGCCCCCCTATTTCGCCTCCATCTTCCCTTTCCCCCGCTTCTTTCACAAATTGGCACGATACTGCCTACAGCAATCATGCTTCCCCTCCACTCCCCCTACACAATCCCCCTTTATCCTTCATTCCGCAGCTATGTGTTTGACGGCAAGCCACCAGACCTTAAGGGGGAAGAACTCAAGAAGCGGTGAGCCTTACCCCTTCAACCTTGCCCATTCCGCCGTGCCCCTTCTGCCTTGACGCTTCCGCCTTGCCCATTCCGCCTTTCTCATTCCGCCTTACCCTTCCGCCTAGCCCCTTCCGCCCTCGTGCTTCCGCGCACCTGTTGTTGCACTGCTAAGGTGCTGCAGCTTGCAGCTTCTCTGCTTCCCAGCCTCTCCAATGCCCCCTCCAAGCCCTTTGATTTCCCTCCGGACCTCTTCACATCACCTCTCAACCTCTCGCGTTCACCTTCCAACCCCTTTATTTCACCACTAAACCTCTCATGTTCACCTCCCAACCTCTCTCCCGCAGGTACTCTCGGAGAGAGGGCGCAACGGAGGGGTTAGAGGAGGCGAAGGAGGAGGGGAAGGCGGAGGACATAGAGAAGTACAGCAAGCGCACGGTGCGGGTCACACGGCAGCACAACGAGGACTGCCGCCGCCTCCTGCGCCTCATGGGTGTACCTGTGGTTGAGGCACCGTCAGAAGCAGAGGCGGAATGCGCGAACCTGGCGAAGCAGGGCAAGGTGAGCAGGTTCTTTGGGCAGCAGGGAAGGGCTAGAGGGCAGCAGGGAAGGGCTAGAGGGCAGCAGGGAAGGGCTAGAGGGCAGCAGGGAAGGGCTAGAGGGCAGCAGGCAGCACAAGGAGGACTGCCGCCGCCTGCTGCGCCTCATGGGCGTGCCTGTTGTTGAGACTCCCTCAGCAGCAGAGGCAGAGTGCGCGAATTTAGCGAAGCAGGGCAAGGTGAGCAGGTCTAGTGGGCAGCAGGCAGCACAAGGAGGACTGCCGCCGCCTGCTGCTCCTCATGGGGGTAACCTGTGGTGGAGGCTCCGTATGAAGCAGAGGCGGAGT